GTGGCCATTGTGTCACCCACCGATCTTCAGCGGCACTGACAGCCAAGACGCTGAGGAGTGGCTGGCTACTTACCACAAGGTGAGCGAAACGAACACGTGGGACGATGCGGCTGAGCTGACCTATGTATGCTTTTACTTGTCCAGCTTCGCTAGTCTCTGGTTGCGCAATCACGGTGCCTACATTGCCAGCTGGGATTCATTTCATCAAGGCCTCCTTTTCGCAAGTCTTCAAACACCCTGCTGTGCGATAACTCCGCGCAGAACAACGACATCGTGAGCGTGCTCAACAGCCAAGAGAGACTTTTACCAGCTACATTAAAGACGTTGTTGACTTGTGCAAGCGGGTAAACCAAGCGATGCTCGAAGCTGACAAAATCAAACAAATTCTCAAGGGCATATACGATGACGCATTTCAAATGTTGTTAGCCAAGGACTCACAAACCATAGCCGATCTCGTCAGCTTGTGCCAGAGTTTTGACGAATTGCGCAAGCAACGCCCCCAAGCATGGCGCTCTCTGGAACAACGGGACTCGATCGTGGCCTTGACGCTCAGAGACCAGAACGACATGTTGGCTCGCATAAAGCAGTTCGTGCGTGAGGAGGTCACTCGGCAGCTCTCCGTTTTATCGAGCACGCCCGAGCCAGCACAAACGCATCCTCTGGCCCCAGATAATCTGGCCCCGGCCATAAGCCACGTCATACAATATGAGGTAGCTGACGCTTTGCCTTTCGCTCGTTCACCACCTCTGGAGGCCGCACCGTTGACGTATGCGCAAGTCGTTGCAGCCGGAGCACCTCGACAGCCCACTTAGGCTACTTCACCGGTCCCTGTTCAGTCATAACCAGTTCCGTTCAGCCGGCTTATTGCGGCGTTTCCGAATCCATGGCGCACCACAGACAACCGCCCGATTCGCTATTCTTGCGGTTACGCAGGACATGTGGCTTGCTTGTGCCACCACCGCCCTCTCGTTCACAGCGACACCATGCAACGATCGTCGCCAATTCTCGGCGCTTTAGCAAACGCGGCACGTCAACAAGGATCCTCTTCACTCGACCGCCCTCCCTCAGTCAGTCACCGATCTCCATCTCCCCGACGTCACTCCCTGTCACCTATGCGCCATCGACCCTGCCCTTCAGACGCGGAAAACTAGATGCCCCAGTTCCGGAGGCACGAGGTGCGTCGTCGTCTAAAGAATCAAGTCCTCGCAATTCTCCGACAAACCTAATGGACGTTTTTGTGGATGGTTACCGTACCCTTGTGCTTGTGGACACTGGTGCGGCCGTTTCAGTAATTGATTTAAAACTTCACCGCTTGCTTCGGAAGGTTACCACGGCGCCAAAGGGATTGTCCCTCCGTACTGCCGGTACTCACCATATTCGACTATCAGCTGCCTGTAAGGCCCGCGTTCTCATCCAAGATGTTTTGTATAACGTTCAATTTCTTGTGCTACAGGCGTGTTCTCATGATGTGATCCTCGGCTGGGATTTTCTGTCTCGTAATCATGCTGTTATCGGCTGTGTTCGTGCTGAAGTGTCCTTCTCAGCGTTGTGTGCCTCGTCTCTGGAATTTCCGTTGAACAAGCTGTTTGTCGCTGACGACATCGACATACCACCGACTAGCGCAGCCTTTGTTCCGTGTCTTGTGCTGATGTGTCTATGCCTGCAGTGTTGTTTACGCCTTCCCAAACTTTCTAAAGTTGCAAGAGCCTCGCATTGCCGTTTGCAGTTCTAGATATTTCGGCGAGCACTACCAATTTGTTTGTCACAAATCCCTTGCCGTCTCCCACAACCTTGCGTTGCGCAGAATGTATTGGAACATTCCAAAACTTAGACGTTTCCTCCATCTTCGGCCTTGACGGCGAAAGTGATTTGCAGCTTAATGCACTGACGCTATCAGCCCATACACCTGTTCACGAAAACATTTATTTGTTTGGCCCCTCAATTGATGGCGAACTTGAAGAACCACACCGCGAAAAGCTTCTAGAACTTCTTCACCAGTTTCGCGGCTTGTTCATTTGCCAGCAGAAGTTCTTAGGCCGAACGCACACCGTTGTTCATCACATTAACACCGGATCCCAAGCGCCTCTGCGACAGCGTCCCTACCGGGTATCTCCTGTTAAGCGTCGTGTAATCACCGAGCGAGTGGCCAACATGCTTCAACGTGGTGTCATTCGGTTGTCCAGCAGTCCCTGGTCTTCACATGTTGTACTTGTGAGAAAACAATACGGCTCGATTTGCTTTTGCGTCGATTGCCGCTGTTTAAACAAAGTCACGCTTAAAAGACGTATACCCTTTGCTGCGCATCGATGATGCCCTGGACTGCTTGCAAGGCGCTGAATTCTTCTCATCACTAGACTTACGGTCCGGTTATTGGCAGGTCCCCATTGTTTCCGAAAAGGAATGTTTGGCCATTGTTTGGGCATTACAAAAATTTCTTCCTTACTTATATGGACGCCCATTTGATGTGGTTACAGATCACCATTCACTCTGTTGGCTTGCTTCATTAAAGGATCCTTCGGACTGGCTTGTACATTGGGCGCTACGTTTACAGAAATTTGATATTCACGTCATTTACCACTCAGGCCGCAAGCATACCGACGCAGATGCTGTTTCTCGTTCGCCCCTTCCTTCAGCCGTTGCACCTGTTTCCTTTGCCAAAGCTACCATCGACAGCATCGACACCGCTGACATGCCATCGGAACTATGCAAGGACCATTGGATAGCCTCGCTCCTGGGCGTTTTCTCGTCTTCGGTGACACCACACCGGCGTCTACCTCGTGCACTACGTCGGCAAATTCCTCATTATGCGATACGGGATGCTATGTTGTACCGTGGCAACTATCAGCCGGATGGTAGGAAATGGCTTCTTGTTATACCTCGCCATTTGTGCTCCAACATGTGTGCATACATCTACACAGACCCTCAAAACGCACACGCTGGCGTTTTGAAAACATACGACCGGCTTCGTCAGTGAATTTTCTGGCATGGAATGTACTCGTACGTTCGCAAGTACAAACGCACCTGCACTGAGTCTCAGCGACGGAAAACAACTGGTCATTCCTCTGGCAAATTACAACCATTGCCGTGTCCAGCTCGGCTGTTTGGTAGAATCGGCATCGACCTCTACGGGCCACTAGCTTGTACTCCTGCTGGAAATTGCTGTATTATTGTGGCCGTTGACCACCTAACCCGTTACGCTGAAACCGCCGCTTCGCCAGCCGCTGCTGCTCGTGGTGTCGCCTTGTTCATCTTGCGTAGCGTTGTACTTTGCCATGGCGCGCCACGTGAGCTGCTTAGCGACCGTGGGCGTGCCTTTCTATCGCAAGTCGTCCAGGTGCCCCTCAGTGAGTGCAATATTATTCACCGCACCACTACAAGCTATCAATCACAGACAAACGGTTTGACGGAGCGCTTTAACCGCACGCTCGCTGATATGCTCTCTATGTACATATACTCCGACCATCTAATTCGGACTTGGTGCTCCCTTTCGTAACGTATGCGTATAATACGGCCATGCAAGCAACTACTGGGTTTTCACTTTTTTTTTCTACTGTATGAACGTGAGCCCTTTTCTACGCTTGATGCGATACTCACTTACCGCCCAGATGCTACAGAATACTGCCCAGCCTCCTAACTTGTTCAGTGTGCCGAAGAGTGCCGCCACTTAGCGCGTTCATTTACGTCCGTCGCGCAAGGTCTCCAAAAAGAACGACTTGACCAAGACAAGCCTGCTCACAGCTTCCCCGTAGTCTCATTTGTATGGCTTTCAGTTCCAATATAGTCCCCCGGCCTCTTTCGAAAGTTTGCACTCAAGTACAATGGTCCGTACCGCATCGTTCAATGCACGTCACCGGTCAAATACGTCATCGAACCAGAGATACCTGCCGAGGTCGTGAGAAATGCTGTGGTCGTGAGACAGTCCACATAAGCCGCATAAAACCTTACTATGATCCCTTCGTGCTTGCTTCGCCGTGAGTCGCCATGATGGCTCCTCTTCACCACCGGGGCAAATGTAGTGGGAAGAGGGAGAGAGACAGTATCTGGTCGGAGAGCCTGGAAGACGACTACGACGAAGAGCTAAGCTCGTGACAGTGACTGACGCCCATTGAACCAGGCAGTTGGTTTCAGTCAATAAATCCCCCGCTTTTAATATATATGTATGAGATATGGCACAACGGGAGCGTTGTCAACAAAGATAAATATATTTCTCAGCAGTTTCGGGAGGGGTCCTCCCTTCATCAGGGAATGAGTGTATAACTCATCCCCTGATGAAGGGAGGACCCCTCCCGAAACTGTTGGGAAATAAATATATTTATCCTTGTTGACAACGCTCCCGTTGTGCCATACCCACACCTTCACGAAGACTAACTGGCCCATTGAATTATTACTCGCAATATATATATATATATATATATATATAAGATGGGAAGTTTTGACACACGCACACAAACAATGAAAAGTGAAATTAGAATTTATGACACAAGTGCATAATTACGATAGTAATTTTGAAAGCGTGAAACATCTGCGTATTATCCAGGCATAAGCCGATTAAGTATTGTTTATTTTGACATTACGCTGGGTGCGAGAAGTAGACCGCAAGTTACACTGTGTTACAAGACATCAGCTATGTTATGTAATTGATTTACAGATATGTGAGCTTCAACGTCTGAAATTCATTATATGACTATGAGAGACACCGTAGTGGAAGGCTCTGTAAATTTAGACCACCTGGGGTTATTTACCGTGCACCTAAATCTGCGCACACGGCCTACAGTATTTTCGCCTCCATCGAAAATGCAGCCGCCGCAGCCGAGATTAGCTAATGTTTATAACTCTGAGGTTATATGTCATAGCCAACTCACCACACAGTGTAGAGGAGCAAATGGGCAATTTCAAAGACAAAAAGCACTTGCGGATTACGAGTGTGCTTGCTTCTCTCATCCAATTTTCCTAACAAAGTATATGCACTTTATCAGGGGAAATGATCATACGCAGCAAACTCACACTCTGCCAATAGATTTTAATGGGTTCCTACAGCTGCCACCAGCACTCATAATTATTATTTACGCCATTGTCAAGTCGGGCGGGTATGCTGTGTCTTGCACAGAACACCAAAAGTGCGCTCCTACTAGGCTTGCAGTGGTGCTGGCTCGATCGCACTGCAGCTCGGCTAGGCTAGCCACGGACAGGTAGATGATGAGCCATGGATTTGAGGCATGCTGAGAGCCACCTTTAGAAATCAACAAGAACGTACTTAGGTCAGATACAATATGAAGAAAAAAATCACTGTGCAATTGTGGTGAAAACATGTATGGGTGAAATATACCATGCCACAGCTTTGAGAGAAAAAAAAAGCTACGTCAGGTAAAATGCGTGTTTCCTGACTATGCGTGATCTGAGGCTTGCACTATAGCTACTTCTCTGTGCAAGTGCTGAAGAGCTAAGTTATTTTTCCCCGCTTTATATTTCCTTCCAGAACGCTTGATCCACAGAATGCGTCACAAGCTGGAGAGCTCAATGAAGAATCAGAGTGTTTCTGCAATTTCAAACGCACGCTCCCTTCTCAGCCTCACATAAATGGAGTTAATTTCATAGGCTGCCACCTTTAAATTTTCCACATTCTCAATTATCTTGCAGATTACTTCTACTCAATGTCCAGTTACATTCTTACGTGAGATGATTACGAGCACCCACTGATAGTAACTATCAGTGTTTTCAAAATATGGAGTTAAATACATAAGCTGCAGAGTTTACACTTCCCAGTCTAAAAATCCACTAGACTGTGTCTGGTGTGTTTTTCTCGCTAACACCAGAGCGGGAATTCAGACAAGGTTCCTGGCGTATACTACCGGTCTGCTGTATACCGCCATTTTCTGGTGTGACACGGAGTGAAGTGTTTTGGATATACCCGGCCTAGTGTGCTTTGGTAAAACCCGAACTGGTGGGGTTTGGTAAGAGCCGGGCTAGTGTGTTTTTGCGTGACCGGTCTTTGTGTATGTGTATTTCTTCTAATTACGTACTTAAGTGCATTGTGGCTGAAAACATGCATTTTTATGTGCCCATGGGCAAAAGCATCAGGCTTGCACAGTAGTGTAGGACTACTGTTTAGTGTGAAAAAAGACTTCTCTGTTTATTTTTTTTTCTTTTCCCGTCTCAGCTTGATTTTTTAGTTAACGTGCGTTGCTTCCTTTTTCACAAGGCTTCAGGCAGTACTGCAGGGCATGGAAAAGACGAGAAATTCATTACAACATTGCCCAATTTGATAAATGAAGTTATATATGTTTGTTGCAGATTTGTGCTCTTACTTTTAGAAAAAAAAATAACAGTGTGCAAATATTCAAACTTTCAAACATTTTTCATTAGCACTTGCCAGTCGATTATTTTCCGCTGAAAGTTGTACAATTAGAGCTTCCCAAAGACAACAATCAACGCCCGAACAACTGTGACCCCTGCAGATTTTTTTTTTAAACTTGCTTTACCTCACAACAGTCTGACTATGTGGTAAAGCTGCCTTGCAGGCTAAATTAAGAATTGCATTGATTTCAGAAAATGCTAGTTCCAACATGGAGATGCTCTGGGCCGTTACAGTCACCCCTTCATTTTTTATAAGATGCTTCACCACTGCGTGGGTTACGCTGCGGGCATAATCAGATTGACTCACGAAAGCGCTGGTTCAAACCTGCATGGAAGGGGTGGAAGCTTTATTGTTTCTTACCAAAAGATTCGACACAAAGTGTACGAACCTTCTCACTATCTCAAATTTCAGGTGTTTACACAGACATCTGCAGAGCAGATCAGCAATTCAAAACTCGAAAGGAGCTCTTTCCAGAAGGGCCTCCACAGAAGGGCCTTCAGAAGCCCTTCTGTGCACCAAGAAGGGCCTCCACAGAAGTTGATGTGGGGGGGGGGGGGAGGAACCTTTCATGTGTAAACTGCTGTCGACACCACATTGGTTGCACGAAATTTAATAAATACAATCTGATCTGCAATGTCTCTTCTTTGATAAATCAAGGGAGCACCTTCCCTCCTGATCTTCACCAACCTAGCCAAAAAAACAATGTCATGTCCTTATCCCATAATACTGTGTTTAGGAATCTTCTGCAACTTTTCTTCTGCAACTTCTTTCGAAGTATCTCACACTTCCATATTAAAATTCGCTTCACACACAAAATGCTTGCTATTCACAGAGCTCTGTAAATTATAAAGAACACAAATTTATTTCTGCTCATTAAGAAATACCTATCGCTGAACTACAGCAGTTGATTATAAGCTCACTAAGGAAGCACTAGTAGTAAATACACATTTGCAAAGAATTTTATGTGCTTCTCATACAGCCTAACCAACTGAGAAACTCATTTTTAAAAGTAGGACTATCGTTCAAACAAACCGTCACTAAGGGAAGGCTCACATATCATGAAAGAGCAACGGCTGGAATGTCAGTACAATCGTGAATCCCAGGTGAGGTTTTCCTTCCACAGACCACTACAAACGATGGAGAACATGCAACAGGTAGATGTCACCTAAGTTTCAATACCAAATTATTTCTGTATGCAATGAATGACAAAATCACAGCAGCAATGCGTTTCAGCATTTACTTCCTTCAGGCATGTACAGCCACCAGCAGCTTTAACTTGAACACTTCGATGCGTGCCCAAGGCTCGCTTGAATAGAGTTACCGTATATGCTACCATAGGTAGCAGAGTTGTGCATAGGACCGTTGTCTTGCACGCCGGCGCGTTCTCGTTAAGCAGGAAAGTCACTTCTCTTGAATGTAGGAGACGTAGCTCAGCGGCTCCGTGTACTTTCTATGTGTACGCTCGTTCATAACGCGTCGCTGACGTTGGCCCATAGCTAAATAAAAAGGGGGGGGGGGCTCTTTTTCTAAATTCCGGGTACATATATTTTGCTGAAAATGACTCATACAAATAAGTAATTTTCATGGTCTTCCCCAAGTCGGCCCCCTACCCTCGCGAAAAAGAAATTACTGCATATGGGCTGGTGCTGGCGCAATTACTCTCGCTTACAAGGAAAAAAAATTGGCCCCGTATCTGCATGTTATTTTGCAAATGTCGTCGAAACACGATAGTCTTGCGTGTGGAGATCGCGAAGAAAACATTTATTTGATGTTCTGCGCAAGAAAATCAGTGAACGGTATTCTGGAGGCGCTGCGTTAAATTGCCCCGACCGTGCAGCCGAGGCAAACGAACGCATCAATACACGTCACGCGTGAGACATGGGCGCCATATGGCACTTTTTTTGGAAAACGAAGTGCGTGGCCCTATGACGGGCGTGTGCGCCCGTCTCAGAGGTGATAAAGTGTTACATATCGCTATAGGCGATAGGTAAGTGCCACCACTATGTCGTTTTAGCAAAGCGTTAGAAACACTCGCCTTTTCGTGCAAGCGTTGCATGCTCAGCGCAGCGTGATAAACGCTACGGTCCTTAGAATTACTTATGTATGCCTTTTCTAGTAAAAGACGGACGTGCAAAATATATACGTATTGTTATGGTGCCTCAGATATGCGCGATATTTGCTTTTTAATTGACAATCGCACAAGTATGAACGCTGAACCTTGAGCAACATTAGTGGGCGCTGCGGATAGGGTTGGCCGTTTGAAGTTGTAGCCATGGTGCATTTTAAAGTACCCAGTACAGTGAAGAGTGGACAAACAGATAAATGCACGGACAGACAGACCAAAATTTTTGCGTCGAAGGTCCCCGAAAAAGACCATCGTCTCTAAAAAAAACTAAAACGGACAGCAAACAACACCACCGCAATACTGACAAACAACCCGCACTGCGTGAGCCGAACCACCTTGCAGTTCACCGGACGGACGACTTGACAGTGTAGTGGTAGCAGTGGTGGCATTGAGGTCGCCAGGACCCAAACGGCCGTGAAGTTGTCTTTCTTTTAAACGGACGCTTTTTGCGCACGTGAGTCCGCTCGGCGAAAGGTGGTGCGAGTGGCGAGTTCTGTCAGAGACGCAATTCTGCTACCTAAAGGTAGCATATACAGTAACTCTACTGTATAGTAGAGTTACTGAGATCAGCGGCACCAAGCGTTCAACATGGTATGCTTGCTGTAGTTGACAACAGATGTAGCGCACGTCGGTTTCTCTGGTAAATTTCTGTTTACAGTCTTCCCGACCGGTGGGTCGAATGCCCTCACATCGCATCCCAATTTAGCCACGTTTCGCTTGTGGCTACGTTATTGCGTGCGCCCATGGTGTTCCTTGGTCTATGCTTATCTCTACAATGAACCATTGCGTGTGGCAGCTAACCCACCTTATCAGTTTGAATTTGCGGCAAGGAATCACATGTATAAATAGCAGAGCAAACGCATGTTCATGGCGTTTGAAAAAGTTGCACAATGAATAATACTCAAATGTGGTGGCGTTGTTCACATTCTGACTCAATAACTTTCCCACAGCGTCAATTGAACTGTTCTCGCAATTTAGAGTGTGCCTTTCTATTCGGATCAGGCTGCACGGAAGATGTCGAATGAAGCGCGATGTTTGTGCGTGTTTTCAGCAAGAAAGGCACATGAATAAAAAGCAAACAAAACAATTTTTGTGCGTAGTTATCGAATAAAAGCCTAAACTGCCATCTTATTTTCAATTCAGATCGTAGTAGGCACGCTAAAGCCCAGGTATTGTTAACCACTCAAATGTTGTGGCCCAAGACCACATCTTTCGTGCAGCGCGAACCGAGCAGAAAGACACACTCTGAATTGCGAGAGCAGTTTGATTGACGCTGCCTGAAAATTACTGAATCAGAACATGAACAACTTTACTGCCATTCAGATATATTGTGCAACTTTTACAGACGCCTTGAGCGTGTGTTTGCTATGCTTTTTATACGTGTGGTCCCTTTGGACTGGCAATGCCAATTAAAACACGAAAGGTGCGTAAGCTGTCACATGCAATCGTTCTTTGTCGATAAAGAAATAAGAAAACGAATGCCATGGTTGCACGCAATAACGTAGCCACGAGCGAAACGTGGTGAAAACGGGATGCGAGGTGATGCGAAGTGAATGCATTCGGCCCGCCGGTCAGGCAGTCTGGAAACAGAAATTTACTAGTGAAACCAATGTGCGCTAAAGCTATCCCTAACAGCAGCAAGCATAACTTTTTCAAAGCTTCGTGGCGCTGACCTCGGTGGCGCTGACCTCGGACTAAAGGTAACAGGAATGCAGCGGTAAGGAAAAACAAAGCACTGTGGCATTACAATAGGTATGATGTTGTCAGAGGAATATGAAAAGGGGTCATAGTTCCTGGTTTGACGTTCGGCAATGCGGTCTTGTGCATGAGATCAGAAGTTCAAGCAAGATTAGAAATTAAGCAATGTGGAATAGGTAGGCTTGCCTTAGGAGCTTACGGGAATACACCAAATCAGGGAGTACAAGTTGATATGGAATGGACATCATTGAGGGCAGGGAAGCTAGCAGCAAAATAAAAATTGAAAAGCGATCGAGGAAAATGGGGGAGGAGCGTTGGGCTAGGAAGGCATTCAGCTACTTGTACATGAAGAATGCCGATACAAAATGGCGGAAGCGAACCAGAAAATTGACTGGTAAATACTTGGAAAACAGCAGGGGGCCAAACCAAAGAGAACTATCGGTTAAGAATAAAGTGAAGGAAACGGAGACTGACATGTGGAGAATTGGCATGATTAAAAAGTCCGCACTAAAGATCTATCGAACGTTCAAGCAGGAAATCGCCAAGGAAAGGGTCTATGATAATACTCGGGGTAGTTCTCTACTGTTTGAGGCCAGCACGGGAGTATTGCGAACCAAGACATATCGGGCCAAATACGAAGGGGTAGACACGGTATGCAGTGCGTGTGGAGAGGAAGAAGAAACTGCCGAACACTTGATAATGTTCTGTAAAGGGCTTCACCCTATAGTTCAGGATGATGGCGCAGAGTTTTTCAAAGCATTGGGATTTAGGGACTGTAAAGGCAAAATAGACTTTAAGCGGGTAGAATAAACAAGAAGGAGGTTGTCTGATTGGTGGCTAAAGTCAAGGCACGAGTGAAAATATACCCTTCACTGCAAAGTGCGAATCCTCAACCTCACTATTTAAGGGAAAAAATAAATCTAGTTTTTTGTTCATTAGGTAGTACGGCTTGGTGGCGCTAGCCACCTCCCGATCTAAAGAGTACAGCCATATCCATCAATCCATCCATTCATCCATCCATCCATCCATCCATCGAGCAGAGGCCACGCGTCGGAGCGTTCAAAATAAAGGTGCCGACGGCTGTATAGATTCAGCTTTGCTCCACCACATGGGATCTGCTTCGACTGATGCTAACGCTGCCAAGTACAGGACACGGTTTATTTACTACAACAAATATTAGATGAAGCGCCGGTCGATTTTTCCAGTAAATTTCCAGTTCACTTCTGCCTAACTGGCGACTCGAAAACACACTTGGCAGGTCTGTTTTTACCACATTATGCTCGTGAATATTTTTACGCAAGCCCACAAAATTTCTTGCCAACGCTTATCTCAGCAATGACTCATTGTGTGATAACTCACGCACCTTTCTGGTATGGAATTGCAGCTGCGGGTAAAAATAAGTAAAGCATTGGAAAAACTGAGAAAACGCACACTAATAGCGCTTCTAAATATTCCACAATAAATAAATCTGACATGTGGTGAGCAAACAGTTGATCTTCTGTACGAATATATTACTTTGTTCAAGCAGCAACTGTAATTTCAAAAACGAGTGGTGTGTTAGCTGTCACACCCAATGGTTCATTGCAGAGACAAGCATATGGCAACGAATTTCATGGGGGCGCGTAGAACATAGCCATGAGCGAAACATGGCATAAATTTGCTTACCAAGTGAGAGCATCAAACCCAGCAGTCACGCACACATGAAACAAAAATTTACTATTTAAAACAACCCCCACTCCATCTATACTATAAGGTGGAGAAAACATGCAGAGCCCAACACTTGGCAGCACTAGCATCAGTCAAAGCAAGTTAAAGAGCTGCGTCGAAGCATTCACGTTAAGTGTGCCGATGGCTGAAAATTCTGTAGCTGGAAATATAGCTTGCAGCTGTGCTCATAAACAGGGCACTGCAGGCGCCAAACTAGAAACAGGTTATAAAACGCATGCATGTCAAAACATACACTCCACTGAAATGAGCAAGCTTCCTCACTAACCTCTCTATACTTCATCTTCTTATGGTGGCAATTGCTGTTGTGCAGGTTTCTGGCCGCCTTCTGCCGCAAACCAATTCCAACAGTTTCCGTGAAGCTTCTATGCGTGCCGTACTGGCCTCTGTCTACCTAATTGTGATAGTAGACCACTTGACCTAATGGAAGTCCTTGGAATTCTCATCAGCAGACTCTAGACGGCCCTTGAGACGGCCGTTGAGACGGCCCTTGAGACGGCCCTTGAGAGCATCACATCATTAGCTAGGTGAACCTGTGCACACACAAACCAAAAATTATTTCATAATAAAACAGTGAACCAGCATTGATAACTTCAATCCGAGGAGTGAAACAATGTGGTAAGTTTCATAAGCTCTGAATTACACTTGGAACTGAAACACATGCAGTAGAACCGCACTGATTTGTCCTTGGGAGGACAGTAAAAAAATAACTTAAGAGCTGTAAAACAGGCCAAACAAAAAAAATGCTGATCTGAACCACACAAAATTTAGTTTCAATTTATGCACTTGAAACCAAAACGTGCAACGGTTTCTGAAGAATTACTTGAGATAAGCAGCAAAAACATCTGGAGCACCTGTAGTTTCACATCCACTTACAAATATAGTGCCACTATGGCCAATACTTGGAAAAAGGCCTCACTTATAGCGATCACTGTCCCCAGGTGAGCCAATGTCGATGAGCGATAACACAGCCCTGTAGGCAAGCAGGACGATTTTCGAACTCCAAGAAAGATGTGGAAATTTTTTTCAGCCATATTCATGATGGTCTCGTTGATTTGGCTTGGAATGCCACTTTTAAAGAGAAGGCTGTGACTTAATTCAATTATGCGCAGGTGTGTGTAGCTAGCTAGAGGTACAGTTATTCTTATTGGATTAATTTACCTAGCATCCGCAGTGGTATTGTGAACAAATCCTGCCATAGGAAATGGCTGGCAGGCTGCATCCACAGAGCTGCTGCGTGTTCCCACTAAATCTGTCTATTTTTTTTTCAGATTGGTTCTCTGCATGGCTATTTTTTTCGAGGCATGTGGCTCATTCTTCATCTGTGTCCTTAGCTCGCTGCCTCTTCTTAATTTCGTTCTGACGTCCATGGCTCCTTTAAGCCCCAGCCAACTCACTTTCAAATGCGAAGCATTTTTTAGCAAACTTCGGCGACTTTAACCCTTTTTAGAGCAGAATATGTGTTTTTTAAAACCAGAAAAAGGTTGTCTTATTTTACGAACCAAGCCCACAGAAGTAGTTTGAAAGAAATTTCAAGGCTATACAACGAGTACTTTATTTTTTAAAAAAATCTGGCACACATTTGTCCCACTGACGCTAAATTGAAATTCAAAAAATGAGACGCATTTGTCCCAATGCTCCTTGAGGGCTCCGGGGTTACATTCGGCCGGCATGAAAAGGTCCAAAACACGTTGAACAAAGAGGCACATTGCACACAGAACACAGAAGGTTGGTGCGCGCTTCTTTCTTGGCAGTCGAGCACCCACGACAGCGCCTCCTTTTTGCAATCTTCTGAGGGTGATGTCCAGCTCCCAGAAATCGGACTTCATCAGCAACGCCTACCATTTTCTGGCCATGTTAGGCACCTTTTTTGTTGACTCGATACGGGCGGGTGCTGTACCTTTTGAATGTTTGCCCGTTTATCAGCTGGCGACCAAGGACGAGCCGGAACCAAAGGTAGCTCATTACACTGACTGCTTTCAATGGAAAAAAAAGCATTTGCCATTTCTGCGTCAAGCAGAAAGTAAAAACATTCGGTGCCACGACTTCTTAGATCGTCGATCCAACGGGTATGCGTTCCTTCTTTGGCAAGCTTGTCGACTCCGCCCATCCAGGTATTGTAGTCGGAGACTGCTTTGGGGCACTGGACGGACATGGATGAGCCATTAGAAAGCTTTCGAACAACGTCCTCAGTGTCATTAGTGTGTTGAAAGTTGGACAGCACATGTACATTTTATGCTTTCCGCCACTGATAAGCTGTGATCCTCCCTTTCGCCCGCCAGATATACTGTCTCTTCTGTAGCTTGTTATCCCGTTTGATTTCGTCAGGTAAGTCCTTGCGGTTCGGGCAAACCGTTCCTATGGCCAAAATGTTCTTTTCTTTCAAGGCCTCCATTAGGCGTGTGGACGTGAAAAAATTATCGAAATATAGCTGCGTGCCAGCCTCTACTCCGTCAATGAGGGAGAGCACAACATGCTCACCGAGACCTACGTTCGCAGATCGGTCTGCACCTTTACCTTCATAGACCTAAATTCAATCAGGTAACCTGTCTGGGAGTCGGCTATGCACCACACCTTGTACCCCCGCTTCATAGGTTTCATTGGGAGGTACTGCTTCTGTGAGCACCGGTCTTTGAATCGTATCATACTCTCATCAATGGCTTGGTGCACTGATGGAATGTATGGTCTCTTGAAACTTTCATTCAGTGCAAGGAGATGAGAGGACGCACTCTTGCCAATCTGTCGTACCCTTCTTCACTTTTATTTTTTTCCTTGGTTAGGTCAGTGAGGTGCAAACTGTTCATAATGGCTTGAAAACGACGGAACGACAAAACTTTGATATTTCAGGACGCTTGAAAAAACTGTCACTGATCCAGTACAGGTACAGTTGATGTCTGGGGTTTGTGCTCATCAGCAGAAGTATGCCAAAGTTTGCACGGAGTTCATCAATTGTAAGCTCTTTCCAAAGCTGTCGGCCTTTCTGTTTGGCAAAGCGGTTTGTCTCAGTCACCAGTGTGTTCATGATACCTTCGTCAAAACAAAGAGCAAAAGCTTCACAACGCGTCGTCGGGAGATTTGCACTGTGTTGTGGGTCCCAAATTTTTGAACAATAATTACGGCATCCGGTTCACTGCTAGTCCATGTCCCAACCTTCTCCTCTTCGACTTCTGCTTTGACGCGAATTCTAGGCACTTTCTTTTGCTTCATTTTCTTTCTTGAATAGGTAGCCTTTCGTTTTTGTGGTTTCCTCGTTGATTCCGCCACTTCGGCTTCACTGCTTTGCTAATCTGAATCAGGCGAAGCGAGCTCAAGTGCGAAGGCTTCATTCGTATCTCTGCGGAATCATTCGACGTAGGGTCGTCAGGAAAGCTAAAATATAATTCCAGCGCTTCCTCTCGCGTCAGCAATCCTTTATCTGCGTTTTTAAAAGCAAACAGAAAACAAAATAATCGGTGAAATGTTTCACTACACATCGAATGCAGGCAGCGATGGCAGTAGGCTTATCCCATCGTCATGCAGTTTTTGCCTTGGCACCATTTGAAAAAGCCTTTAGGAATAAGTATTGCTTCTAATAATGAAAACATCCGATGATTACAAGCTGCAACTATTTTTTTTTTTGAAGCAGAGAAAATAGTACACTCACTTGTAACCTTGAATTATTCTTTTCCGCTGACTCACAATGCGGAAATTTGTGCCGCCGGTAAACAGAGAAACACAATTTTGAAATAGTGTAACCTAACAACACCTATTGTACAGCTTTTAAACAAGTCTTAACAAAAATGTAAAAGCCTCAATGTAAAGGGCAGCACAAAACAACTGAGCTTGATACGTCCCATTGTTCTTCACGAGAAATTCTGTGGGGAACAAAAAATAAGACAGATATTTCCCGTTGCCCTACAAGGGGTTAGGCGTATCTATCTATCTATCTATCTATCTATCTATCTATCTATCTATCTATCCATCCATCTATCCATCTATCTATCTATCTATCTATCTATCTATCTATCTATCTATCTATCTATCTATCTATCTAGCCGCCTACGACTTTTAGCTCTCCTGGCCGTTTCGATATTGGTATCGGTACCAAACTTGGCATGGCGTATCATGACTCTATGAAGAACATATTTCACTAGTCGTAAAATGGAAATGATGATATGTATGTCATGAATGTCATGATTTACATTTCATGGTCCTGCAGCTCTTGTGGTGGTTTTGTTCACATGGCATGTTGCAAAACTGGTATGGTATGGCATGATTGCATGGCAGACACAAGCGACAGAGCCCAACATGAAAATCATAACATGCTCGTCATGTAACAACATGAGTACGCGCAATGCTCATAATGCGCTCGCGGCCGTTTAGCTAGTGTCACACATACCAAATTTGGTATTACAGTACATGAATGGATGACGAAAGTATGTGACTAGTGCAAACATGATAATCATGAGATGCGTGTCATGTAACTACATGACTTCATGCCACGCTTATGATGCGCTGGCGGCCGTTTTGCTAGCTTCACTTATACCAAATTTGATATTACGGCACGTGAATGGATGGAGATGGTATGATACTGGTGCAAACAAGGTAAACCTGAGCTGCGTGTTATGTAACATCATGACTACATGCTGCGCTCATGATGCGCTCGCGGCCGTTTCGCTAGCTTCACATGTACCAAACGCGGTATTGAACGACGCGAACGGACGACATGAGTGAATGACACACCCAAACATGATAATCACGACATGCGTGTCATATAACAACGTGGCTACATGCCGCACTGATGATGCGCTCGCGGCCGTTTCGCTAGCTTCACATATGACAAATATCGTATTACGTGACGCCAATGAATGACGACGGTATGTGACTGATGCAAACATGATAATCATGAGATGCGTGTCATGTGAGAACATGACTACATGTCACAGTCAAGGCGTCGATACATTTCGACGTGACGCGGTGCGCGTGCTCACCAGCGTTCTTTACGTTGCATCAGGCTAGCGTTGCTACGCCAGGCGCCGGTCCTGCCATATACTCGGAGGCGCGCGCCGCACTGCGTTGCTTTGACGCATGCGCGTTTCAGCGCGTCCAGCATCATTCCGTCACGAAAAGAGGGAGACGCAGTGTTGTCTGGGTAACGCATCGGGGCGATGGATGGATGGAAAAACTTTATTTCGTCAGAAAGCAACTGAGGATGATTCCGTGTTAGATGGCCATCAACCCAAGGTTGGCGGCGACCTGTGTGGCCCACTCCACGACCCTTAACTGGACGACTGGGTCTGAGCTGGTCAACACGGCCTCCCAGTGCTCAAGAGAGGGATCACGCATAATATTCACCGGCGGCGGCACTATGCTACATTCCCAAAGTATGTGATCATATGTTGCCACAGCCTGACACCATTTGCATTGCGGCTTAATCTCCTCCGGGTACATTTTGTTCAACACGTAAGGGTTGGGAAAAGATCGCGTCTGCAGTTTTCTCCAGACGCATTCCTGCGCCTTAGTCAACCGCTTGTGCGGGGGCGGATAAAACCTC